AATAATCAAAACATTAACTAGCATAGGTCCCCCCGTCTCAAAAATTAAGAAAGTAAATTCAACACATTGTAAATTTCCTTGAAAACAGTTAATATATAAGATGAAGCATTTAAGACATCTATCCCAGTGTCTAGCACTTAATAAATGATAGATGCTATTTTTTATTATCATATGACCAGTCCTACCTAATAGGCATATTCAGGGCTCCTGACCTGCCACAAAATAGACCATTCTTTTAAGCAATGCTGCTGGAACTGTTTAACCTCAGAAAAATATTTTTCCAATAAGGACATCAGAGTATCAATCAATGAATGCCTCATAATGGCAACAAATTTCATTTATCTGTAGCACATTTCCTTCTAAATGACCTGACTCCAAAGCTTGACCACTCTAGTATCTGTTATTGAAATTCCGCTATTGAAATTCAGCCACCTTTGAACAAATCCTACAGCCACACACCACATGCAAAGACAGATCTGGAGTTAAACCCCCAAAAACAAGGAGGGGAGGGGATGGGAGGATATTAAGACTTTTCACACTAGAGTGCATGTAAAAAGAAGAATTTCAATAAACAGTACCCTCCCCCACCCACCCACCCCCCGGGGGAATGTCTTTAATCAGTGAGTTTTAATTCCATTAATGATGCTCCACACTTGTAATTTGGATTAAACTTTCCTATTCAAACATGACTTCCCCCCTTCAAGAACATTAGGGAGAGTAACTTAGGGCAAGAGTGGTCTCACACTACTGAAAAATCACCAAAGCATTGATTTAATATTAGTATCAAAGCTGATGATAAGTCTGGATTTTCGTTTTAAGTTCAAAACTCTAGAGCTTCTTTATAAACTGAAGAAGGAACAAGACAATGACAGCCTTTCTATACCTGGTTTGGAAGAAAGGTCAGATTCACTTCAAGGGAAGAGTTTTAAAACCAAGCTTATTTATAAAACAGAGGTCTTGCTTAGGGTTTTATTTTGAGTCAGACTCTATACTGAGTCTTGATTAAGTGAATTTACTTTGAGAAAAACACACAGTGGTAAGAACAAGCTGTGAAATCACCAAGTCCACCCTTTTTGGTCCTATTTCCAAAGGGAAAACTATTTGGGATCCCAGACAAAGAAAGTCATGTTTCAGGGAAACCAGAGCAGGCCCAAGTCGGAGAAATTCAGTCATTAGATTTAAATTTTTAAAATTATGCCTTAAAAATATTCAGGACATTTAGAAAATCTACCGCATTACATCACAGTAAGTGCATCACCGCATTATATTTTGCAAGCTTTAGCAAATAAAAAAATCCCCCAGAAGAATCTTAATTCTTATCTATGGAAAACATTAAACTGCTAAGCGCTAACAACTGGAATTAGTCCTTAAATCTCTAATGAGAATAATAAAACATGAGTGCAGTTTGTGCTGTAACTTGATAAGGCCTGAATTTACTTGCTGTTAGGAAAAGTCACTGATCCAGCAGTATGGCTTTTTACTCCCTGAGGTACAGGAAACAATATCTGTCCTCTAGGAACCTTCTCTGCGGTAAGCACTTCTTATCTGTGCTATCAGAGGACGGAGATAGCAGGCTAATATCTAGTAACAGCAGCTTTATGAGATGATCCATTACTGATTCAAATCAATCTCAAAGCAGGTAGTTCTCTTTAACCCATTCAGAGCAGACCCAACCTGCCGACAGCACCTCCAACTCTCTATGTGTTGTGCCTGTCCTGAAACTTCCAGGCAAGAAACTAACTGCAAAACACCACTTCTCTTCCTCTCTACCAAGCATCTTTTTAAAACCTTGTTGCTCTGAAAGACCGAACAATCAAGGCGATTGACCAAAAATTGAAATCTAGTTTTAGTTACAATTATCAATTCCATGTTTGTGAAGTAGTAGTACAAGCAGGAGCTTAATGAGCCTATTAGCAATTTGCAAAGACCCAACAACTTGCTGTGATGAATGTGAACATGAAACAACTCCCTCTTTCTACACTTGGGGAATTTTGTTAAAGACATACTTGCTGGGAAGCAAGTTCCACTGTTTATAGGCACAGATCAGCATAAATGAGAATGGAGCAGTGTTTAAGAGCAAATTAAGCTAGGCATTTCCGAAATTAAGTTAGCAGGGGCATCAGACATTAAAGTTCCGACAACATACAATGTTGGAGTTTCATATATTCTAAATGAAAAGTGTTCTCTCATATCTTAGCTCTTAGGCAAATAAATGCTAAAGACAGATTTCAGGCTTTCTATTCAGTCAAGTGTGTGTGTTTGTGTTTCACATATATTCACATACACATAGATATAAAATAATAGATTTTACTGAGTGAAGGGACCTTAAATAGTGCCATTTGCCCCATTCTTTTTATAGAACAAAAATAGAGGCTTTGAGAGGTTCAATAACTTATCCAAGGTCACAGGTAGATATTGACAGAATTGAATTCTCCTAACATCTGCTAATGCTCTTTCTAGTATACTTTGCTTCTTTTAAACAGAAGTCTTTGTCAATATGTAAAACTCCACATACATATGAGATTTTAGTGCTTTCTGAATAGAAGAACTAATTCAAACTATATGAACAAAAGCGGTACTCGTGTATTAAATATTTAAGATTACTTATATTGACTTTGGGTGGAAGTTTTATTTCCATATCAATTAGATTTGAATATATTCACCTTTTTTACTCAGTATCAGGAATGGAAAGTGTCAAAGTCAGATAAATATAGGAAGAAAAAAAATTCTAGTCCCAACTATGCATGATTTTGTATGCCGTCCCAATTTTTTCCCCACACTATGTTACCTTAAGAAAATAAGATAAATATTCAGACTTCTCCACCATTATACAATTGTTAGTTTTCAAACTCTGTAAATTCAGTAAAGTGAGTGATGACACACGGAATTGTCATCTCATTCACTTGAAGAGAAATCAGTGACAACATGTGAACCACATACCTATGACAGTTGCTTTATAAAATGGGAACATGCTTCTTGATTTTCTGAGAACAATATTTAAATATTTTTCATTAATGCAATTCCTTTTTATAAGTTTATATTAAAGGCTCCACTAATTAGTTGTATCTAGCCCAGTATGGCACCAACAATTGATTTTTTTCTAATTTGGCTGTCTGAACAGATATTGATAATTAGACGCCAACAAACTTAAAAGTGTTCTTTCCCAACTTTCTGCTACAGATGCACTTCCCTCTCCTTTGCCTCCTTCACCTATATGCGTCTCTTTCAGCTTCCAAACTGTTTCAACCTGATCATGTCCCATTGCTGAAGTGCAGGCGACCACCTAGAGAACCACAATAATAGCTTCCCCTTGAGAGAGCCACATGGGACTTCTGTTCATGCCTTTCATGTAGAAGTGGCATGCAGGAAATTTTATGATTCATTTTCCCTTTTTGATAAGATATGAAAGAAATATCAAAAGAAATTCAGAGATATTTCCATTTTCTCAGAATGAAGTACAAGGAGCTTCTACTTAAGAAACATGCTTCTGGGTTCATAAAGTGAGAAAATTATTTTTGCTGCTTTTCTCTTTTGATGCCTAAAAAACGAGATTTGGAGTCTTCTTGCATTTTTAACACTTGCAAATGAAACTGTCTATCTTGGTTAGCTTAGTTAACATAAGAACTAAGCAGAAAAACACCAAGCATTGGTCATTTTAGTAAGCACCAATAACAATTTGCTTATTAAATTAATAGGATTCAAAAGAGGCAGCAGGAAATATTCAAGGGCAAAAATCTCTAATGTATCCCCAAATCATAAGATACAGAATTCATATACAGTATAATACTCTGGCAATACGTTTCAATATCTTAGATATTTTGTTAATATGAAAGAAAGAAATATTTTTAATACAACATACATAATTATCTAAATTTTGTGTCCACAGGCTGCAGATTTGTGAAAGAGTCAAACAGGCTTCTCCCTTTGTTTTTTAATCACACATTGTAAGATACCTTCCAATGTTAGGGTGTACCTAAGATTGGAGAGATGAACATTTTTATGTTTTACATACTATAATCAAAATCACTGTGTCACTTATTGCTCCAAAATGCTTTGGTTTTTCAATGATTTTATACATTCAAATTTCTGGATGTTTTAGCAACCTTATCAAATCATCACGTTAAAGAAAACTAGGATCAATTTCAGTATCACAGTATTTATTCAGTGGTCCAAAGCTACAGTTCTTCTCTCCTATTTTATATTTGCAATACTTAATTCTCTTTTAGAAGTCTACGAACCCTATATTAATATATCTAAACCAAATTAATGTCCAACTATGCATTCTTTGTAATTATTCTGTTTGTGACTGTAAAATGCATGCTGACAGCGTTTTACTTGTTTTGCCAATAACCTTCTTCATAAATGATTATCATTAAATTTCAGGAAAGTTTGCTGCCAAACTACTACTGGTCAATTTTGCAAAAACAAGAAGAAGAAAAAAAAAAACCCTCAGTGTCAGATGCCATTAGGATAATTCTAAGACATTTTTTTAACAGATACCAATTCAATATTCCTCTGCACATGACATTACATTCTCAGAAATTCAGGAGGCCTTTAGAAAAAGGAACACTTGGAAAAATTTTTAAATCGGTACAAACTGATATTACATTTTGATTGTCCACAATTCAGTTATAATATCAAAGATGAGAAGGTAGGAATTCCAGGGCTATTAGAATATCTGTACACCAAATAAAAATTTCAAAGGGATTTACCTTTTGCTTATTATTTATGCTACTCTTGGAAATCTGATTTGAATAAAAAATGTATTTTCATATTAGTTTTGAATCATTTCCCCCACCCTACACAAGTATTATCAGACATTCACACAGAAAGGAAGATAAGTAATAATACAGGGACGGCTCCAAGTAAAATCTAGCTCAGTACAGACAGCGTAATAATGATGTCATTAAGACTCCTAGCTGAATGGGATTCAGACAGAACTGTTGTATAGCTGCAGACATAAATCTGATAGAACTTTTTGGCTACATTCTCAGACTTACCTTGAGAGATATTTAGGAGCTCCAGCAAAATGAGTTGAGAGAAAAGCACTCAAAAGAAGAAGGTATGCAGACTGCAGACAGAGATGTAGGCCCTATAGGTGCATCCTTCTGAGATACAGGAGGAAACAGTTTGTTAAATGGATAAAGACAGAGAAACAATCTGAAGAAGAAGAAAACAGAAAACAAATAAACCTTAATTCTAGCACAAATAAATGAGAGAAAAGCAATTGTGGGGCTGCTCAAAGCCTTTTTGCCTAGCTGAATGAAAGCAATCCCTAAGACTGAATGGGTAATGAGATCCTGGCTCCTGAGATTTTAGCTTTCTTAATCATGTTCATAATTAATTCAAGAACATTGATAATTTCATTACATTCTTTTTGTCTTATCAATAAATGATGTGCCTGCACTTTTGGTCCTGTGTACAGGGAGAGGAGAGATGCTTTGGGTAATATTGCACTAGGAATAGTGGATATATATGATCCAAAAAGGTGAAGTGGTAATTATTATCCTTGACCAGCCTTCTATTATCAGAACACGATGACAAGCAGCTACAAATAATTAATAAGCTTTTTATGCAGAAATGCAAAGCCTTTGAAGAAAAATATGCTGCAAGTAGAATTCCTTACTGAAGATTATGTACATAGCACAACACGCTTCTACAGAGACACAGTTTGAAATGGAAGTTGTGAAAATGCCTGCATTGCAAATACAAGAAGAAAATCAATAACTTGTTTTTACAATCTCATTTTAAAAAACTTTTCTTCATCTTAATGTTTTATTTAAAAAAAAAAAAAGAAAGAAATTCTGTGTCCTTCCAGTTGTCTTCCTAAAGTCCTTTCCGGGATCAACTTACAAAGATGTTAAACTGAACTCAGTAAAACCTCCTTTTTTAAACCAAGATGGAAAGCTCAGTCATTATCTGTCAGTCATCATCAAAGGATCCCTTTTCTTTTACGGTTTTCTATTCACCCCCCTGTAAATTTTCACAAAGCTATCACTCATTAGTTTTAGAATCTGTTTTCAAGGCTTTGCAGAGAATGTTTAATGCCATTTAATAGTAGAAAACAAAAAAGGCCACCTAGTCTCCCAAACCATACGGATAATTAATACCAAATTTAAAACTTATCCGTTAGGAAAAGCTATGACTGTGAGAATTCTATTAACCCGAATAGCATTTCGGTTTTAAATACAATGTGTAGCAAATAATTTGTGCTTAAGTGCACATGAGCCATACACAAACTAAGATTTTTTTTAAGTAGACCAATATGGTGGGATAAAATTTCAGCAATGAAAACCACTCCATAAAAGTGTCTCTCAACTAATTGTGCTATTAAAGATAAAAAACAATTCATACACTGCTAAACAGTATTCATGTTGGCACTTTGATCTGATTACTAAACAAAATAGTCTCTGAGAAGACACTACAGAATCACTTAGTAAAGCAAGCTGTTGCCCATGACATTGATATATGGGGCAGAGATGATGTATATACTGGGTGGATTTATCAGTAAATCACTGACTCTATTTACTTCCCCAAGGAAAAAGACCTGTCCCTGAAAGAGAATTCTTTGTTAGAGCCACCAGTAGGGGATTGATATTGGCAAAACATTCAATTTGGATATAGTCCTCCAGAAGATTCATAAAACAATAATTTAATAAGTTAACAGACAAAGATTTAGCACATTGGCAGCATACAATTGCCTCGAGAACATTAAGTTTCTTTATTAATTTCATCAGATTATTTCTTGTGAACTCAACAATATAGGCTTTAGTCACAAGCCATTTAACCACTAAAAAAATGTTTTGAGGAATTCTAAGTCCCTAAAAATAACATTTCCGTAACATGCAAATTATCAACACTCTACAGACCATTTGCTAGTTAAAAGACTATTAAATGACAGTTAAATGTATACCTTTAACTGTTATACACAGGATCTCATCACCCATTATACACAGGATCTCATTACCCATTATACACATGTTACATGCATTTCTATACATTTTTGGTTGTCTTTTAAAGTTCCAGATGCAAGGTAGAATCACAAAACAAATGTACCAATCACTATTCCAAGGCAATGCAAATTCAACTGAAAATCAGGGACAAAAGCTGGAATTGTCAGTGCTCTCTGTACAGTTTCACAAAAAGAAGAGCATCAGAAAGAAAAAAATAAACATACTTAACACATTCAGCTTGCATTAAAGTGTTTCAATTCCTATTCTATTCAAAATGAATGTTTACCAGCAGCTTAAATTTCTCCCCTAATGACCTCTGAACCCTTACATACAGTTCCCAACATTTCACATAGATGTCCCCTAATGAGTTGTGTCCCAGATTGTTCATCAGCTTTCTTCTCCGCGCCTGTTCTCTCGCTGCCCCGTCACTGGGAACAACACCACCAAGCAAGCATCAAGACATTGATCCTGACACATCTCTTCCCCCACCTCTCATCAACTATCAAATTGTAAATGCTAATTTCTCAAATGTCTCTTCTACCTGTCCTTGTCTCTCCATTCCCATAGCCAGCATCACCATTCAAGCCATCAGCCCCTGTTGCCAAGTTGCTGTTTTTAAATACTGTCCTCTATGTCTAGGCATACCTTCTCATTTTGCTCTCCCACTACTGCCCATCATTCTTTCAAAATGGGGATCTGATCACATCTTACACTCAAGCCTTCAATGGCTCCCAAGTACCCTCTTCTCAGACTGCTTACAAAACTCTTTAGATCTGGCTCCTGGTTTGCCTCTCTTAGCCTCATCTTTTAGTTTTACTGTTCCCCCAATCATGTGGAATTACTTTTCTGTTCTCCAGAATGCTCTTTTCGCTTAGCTTTTGACACATGCAGCTCAACTGCCTTATTCAGTGATCCATGACCAATCATTTTCTAATTTGGTTCCATAATACTTTTGGATTTTTCCATTGCTCTTTGAGATTTCTCAAAATTCACATTAAAACCATGATTTTATCAGTGGAACTGCCAGTTGTACTTCAGTTCATTTGGGCTGCAGTCTATCTGGGCTTTTGTGCCACTCAGCCTCCCTGGCAGTTGTACTAACTGCCTGTCTTATTCTCATTGTCTACAGCCTCTGCTGTTTGCTTCCCCCAAAGAACTGACGAGTAACAAGTATAAGCAGAAAGTCTCATCTGTGTTTAAATCCAATCAGCTATAGTCTATTATTGAAAAAGCAGGATATTGCTTGTTTCATCCCGTTAGAGAGCCATTGTTGGTCTTTGCTACAATTATTTTATCAGCTCAGATACATTTTTCACTTTCTTCTATTTAACACATGTGTGTGAGATTGGGAAGGTGAAAGTTGCTGGAATTGAAAAAAACAAAGTAAATGATATGAATGCATATAACTGTTTAATTTTAGTGCATTTTGATGCACTTTTTGCATTTTATTGGTTCCTGAGAATTTTTTTAAGTTTAATACAAGGAAAAAATGTGTATCACTTGCTTTTTATATATTACAAATTTTGTACAAGCTCAATATTATGACAATTGGAAATAATACAATATAAAGACACAGGAAAGTATGTAGAATACAATGGTTGATCAGTAAATCTTTGTAAAAATACAAATAAAAGTAAATTAATCCTATAAGATTCAATATCCAGAACATCATTTCCACCTCATTGCTTTGTAAGAAAAATTTAAATTTGGCCAATTTGTTGTTAACTAAGGCAAAGAAATGTGTGTTCCAGTTTGTTAAGGTTTTCACCAATCATATAGTTTTGAAAAGTTAAGGTGTTCTCCAAATTCCTTTATCAGTAGGAAGTCACTTTCTGGTGATTCCAAATAAACAAAGTCTAATTGCAAAACACACAATGTCCTAACAGAATAAAAGAGAAGAGAGAAAAATAAATGCAGAGAATTATAAGGCATTAAGAAAGATGTACTAGATCAGTACAGGGGGAAATGATCCGAGTTCAAGTGAGAAATAAGAGCCAGGGGACGCCAGAGAGCTAGAGCCATGTGGTCTGTTTGGGAAGAGCTGGCTACAGAGAATAACAGGCTACAAACCTCACTTTAGTATATTAGTATATTATTTGACATGGGAGCAATTTAAAATTTACCAGATTATTTTAGAAAAACATGACAATATTTACATTATCAATTAGATATAAAGAGAAAATTCCAGCAACTTTCACCTTCCCATACAAACACATGTGTTAAAAAGAAAGTGAAAAATGTATCTGAGCTGATAAAATAATTGTAGCAAAGATGAAGAACAGCCCTCTAATGAGATAAAACAAGCAATTCACATAGGGGTAGGAAAGATGGTCATCATTACCCTAAGTACATGTATGAAGACACGAAGGATGTGACTCTACTTTGTGTCCAACCAGAGATATGGAAAACTGTGCTCTATATGTGTAATATGAATTGTAACCGACGTGATTCTGTAATCTGCATTTGGGGTAAAAATTGGGAGTTCATAACCCACTTCAATCTAATGTATGAAATATGATATGTCAAGAGCTTTGTAATGTTGTGAACAACCAATAAAAAAATTTTTTAAAACTTATATACAAAAAAATGAATTGCAATGCATTCTGTTGTCATATATAACAAATTAAAATTTTAAAAAATTAAAAAAAAACAATTCAGAATTTGAAAAGATCAGAAACTAAGCAGAAAAATAACTCATTTAACCTACATAGGATAACAAATATTCTACGGAAGTGAATGTTTTTCAGAAGCATATCCAAATGTTTCCCCTCAATCTTTTTCCTCTCTTTGGTGGAAATTTTAAGAAGCTAATTGCTTCTTTTATTAATGGATATTTTTTAGAAACTGGTTTTGTTCTGTTTATTAAAATTCTCCTCTTAATCTAAAATGACATATATTACATATTTAGCCTTTTCTTGATAATGTAATCTCAATTTGTGATTCCTCTATGACATCATGGCCTCTGACATGCACATCTTATCAGCTCCATATTGTAGATAAACTGAGACCAAGGGAAGTTGAATTTTTCTGGACCACAAGGCACATAAATTGTGAAATTAATACTTCCCCTCCTCACTCTATGGCCTCTAATATAATGTAGGCAATCTAAGCCACAGAATTCAATTGAATTAACAAATTATGGATAACTTAACGTAGTACCTGCTACCTACTGTCTGCCTGGTCTTCCCTTTCCATGTTTTTTCATCATTTAGAATAAGAGATCTCAGGATCCCAGTATCTGTGAATTCATTTTCCAAACACTTTCCCAGAAATCACAGAATCCAAGGAGCAAGGACAAAGAGACAAAATCCACCT